CACACTTACAACTCATATTATATAATGGGATGCATGCCGTATAACATCATGTTTGTAACACATACTGTATACGAGGATACATGTTGTACATATGTTATAAAGGAAAATGCACGAAATGCAGGGGGGATACCCCTCTACCCATATACATATATGTATACACATATACATATATACATATACATATAAATACATATACATGTATATATATATATGTATATATGTATAAACGACTATATATGGGTCTTATGTTAGGATAATACTATTCCCTATAACGCAACACTCTGCAAGCCCAGCGGCTGATGTCCACTGCCCTCAGATGAGTCGCCCTCCATGGCCCAGTCCCAGGCCTGAACCGTCCATCGCCATAAGGGGGTTTGCCAAAATCAGGGGTACCTTTTTGGGAGTCCCCATAATAAGGACTGTAGTAAGTTGGGGTTTTTAGTGGGGTTCTTATTGGGAAACTACCATAAGCATAGTGACTCGCGTGTTGGACGATTCATCCTACGAATTCCACATGGCTCTTCCACGCCACCTTGTGGGGCAGAATCTCCCACTTGATTTGTGAGACAACGGACCTCTTGGATATCCCTAAAATTCGGGCATTCTGCAAAGGATCGAACTGTCTCTTTGGCTATATAGAAGTGCTTCCATGATGGGCTTGAACTTTTTCTGTTGTTGTAACGAATGTGCAGAAAGCCGCAGCCCTCCTTACAAACATATCCGTTTTAGCCAGCTTCAAATGGACGACCCTCTCATTTTCAACGGGTAGGGAACCCACGTGTGGAAACACATCTGAGTTGCCTTGGACCAGCACCGTCCGAAAATAATCACTGTTGCCTGAAAGCTCACAAGAGAGCCTGCTTGCGAGACAGAACAAACAGGCTTTGCCATCAGTCTCGAGCCTGTTTTCACCTCTTGACGAAATGTACCACCCAATTTGCGCTCCCATGCCGATGAGCATGACTCCAAGAACAAGTAGCGTGCACAGCGGGCATCCAGCGAAACACAGGATTCTCACTCAGGTAGACGCTCTGTTCCAAGAGGCTTACGTTTTCGCCGCCGCGGGTGGTATGTCTAAAGGCCACAATCCGGAACCTTGACCTGCACTCCGGAGTCTGCGCAAGATTTTCTCAGCCCGGGTGTCACCCCTAGCAAAGGAGCATGAACGTAAAGACTCGATGCAATGATCCATGCCACATCCCCAAGCGGCAGCTGCCTCCTCTGTAGCTGTAGTTTCGAGGCCCTCCCAGGTAAGAAACTGACCGACCTTGACAAATGTGAAGTGATTTCGACGCGGAGGTAATCTTCAGACATGTAAAGGAATATCATGCAGAATCCTCTATGTGCGGGTATAAGGCACATAGGAGTAAGGTAGAGGAGCACGTGCAGATTCCGAGAGGCCATACATCGAGTGCCAGAAACGGGTAAAATGAGAGCTTCAAGACTTATCCGTTTCACAGTTTACCAGGTGAGGATTACCGAACTTCAAAATACCTTGGTACCCTGTGGATACTTGCCAACTCATGGTCAAGTGTTGCTGCTTCTTGCTTTTTGATGACTAGACCTTTGCAGTAAGTTGTCATACAGCCCTCTACGATAGCTAGGAGCCTGTGCCACAAGACCTGAAGCAACGTGAAACTGAGGCCCACCGAAGTAGTTCACTATGAGAAGTTTCTTTAGGATGTGAGGAATCTCCCATCTGGCCCGTCTGGATTAGAAGAAAACACCATGCAGTGATCTGAAGACGAGGAGACATGTTTTTCGAAGTCACTTTGACGGGCTTGTGCCACTGACGCCATGTATGATATCTGGGATATGGGTCCAGAGCTGTGCTCGAGTTATGGCACAGGGCATAAGTTCCAGCAAGCCGTGCTGGGAGGAGTGACAAGACAAGATCCAAGTCAAAACTTGTCTTGCTATGAGACACAGGCAAACACACTAACGCGAAATCTCTGCACCAGGCCTGCTTTTCAACCCCAATGCAACCTGGAATCACATTGCTAGCCTGTCCTCCAGATACTTAACCTGGCACGTGAAACACTATGCCACAGTACGCAACTTCAAGCCTCAAGTACTAAACTCAAAGAGCGAGCCTGAGCCCACCCATCCTCTCAAGTCAGCTGTGTGTGTGTTCCACCGATCAAGATGGGGCAGGAGTAGTATAGGGAAAGAAGAGCATAAGCAAATCGAGCTTCACTAAGCTCCTATGATCTTCAATCCGATGACTGTGGCACTAAAACTGTCAGCCGAGCGTTCACAACTATCAGTCGGGATTCTCTTAACAGTCCTAGGACGTTGAATAGCGGGGACACCCGGACAACTCGCAACTAATGACGTACCATGGCAAAGAGCAAGCACCGATTCCTAAGTCACGTACTGAGTCTTGCTAGGCGTCCAGGTGCATCAGGACTTCTGGGGAAACTGTGTTGTGGGCACGATGCGCCGTATATGTCCCTCGTACTTGGCTGCAAGCTGCAACACGTCCCACCCCGAGGATTCTTCAGTGGGTTATGACACTTACGCGAACTCTCACGGATTGCCTTTGAGTTATCATCAAACTCACACTGAATTTTGCCGTCTCCATCTGCTTTCCGCTACCCTCCTAATCGCACATAACCTAACATATCCTAATGTGCATACATGTGTTCATATATATATATATGCGTATACTTAATATGCAAGGTTATATCAGCCTTTAGAGGGATATATATATATATGCATATATACATACATACATATATATATATGGGGATATGTAGGGGTTTAGGGTTATATGAAAGGGCCGAGATGATTGCGTACCAATCACCGAAAAACAACTTAAAATTCAATGCATTCTACTTTGGCTTTGATCTTAGTTCCCATGAGTCCTCGTTGTCCTGAAGCTTGATCCTTAGCTGTTGCGGAAACTGACCGGCGCGCCAGTTTGAGATGAACTCACTGTAGTAGTAGTAGTAGTAGCAGCAGCAGCAGCAGTAGTAGTAGTAGTAGTAATAGTAATAGTAATAGTAATAGTAGTAGTAATAGTAATAGTAATAGCAATAGTAATAGTAATAGTATTAGTAGTAGTAGTAGTAGTAGCAGCAATAGTAGTAGTAGTAGTAGTAGCAGTAGTAATAGTAGTAGTAGTAGTAGTACTAGTAGTAGTAGTACTAGTGCTAGTACCAGTAATCATCATCATACTAGTAGTAATTAGAATAGCAATAACAGTAATCGTGGTAGTAATATTGATAAGCGATAGGAAGTAATAGCAACAACACCCCAAAAAAGCAGAGCAGAGCTGCAGAGATGGAGGCATACATCTTGCGCAAGTAGGCAATGCCACAAAAAAATCAACTTTGGTCCAACCTCCAAAAACGGAGTCGGAAAGTCTGAACGCATCATAGGAGCTTCGAAACCATGACCATTTCATCATCTGGCACGGGGGCCGCGGGGGGGGACCTCAGATCGACATGGGAATCAAGCTGATCGTTCTTACTGGCAGCGTTCCGCCTGGTGTCTCTTACTTCCCGGCACGCGTCATATCCTATCAATCGAGGTCATGAAACGTCACGACGTCCGCCCCTTGACGGCATCATTTATAGCCATGCAACTTGATGAGCTTCTACACTACAATATGGGCTTGGAAAATCTTTGCATGCCCACAGTCAGCTCGCATAGCTGCTTGTGCAAACATCATGCAGCTCTCCCTTTAAACTTCACATTGTAGTGCACTCAGTGCATCATCACAGTAAGCAAGAATACTGTCAAATCCTCAAGACATAACCTGATGTCCATCCAAGTCGAAATTCCAACAAAGAAGGTTGCACGCAACTTTTGCCATTGGCCAATGCGAGACATCAAGATGCGAAGCAGCACACTCCTGACAAACAACCTTGCAAGCAAAATTCATGTCTGCTCTACAGATCAGATCTGCCAACAGACTCCTCAAAATGCGACAACTTTGCACAGCGCTGAGTTCTGCACGGGCGCCCCCGAAAGCGACTAAACACCATGATGCTCCTGCATATCCGTTTTTGTAGATGGGGTTTGGAGGTTTGAGACAATTGGCACTGATAAAAAACATCTTTAACGATTTCAGGCCATCGTGATTGCAAGAAATTCATTTGAACAATGACGACTTTCCAGAACCCAGGATTTTGGCTTTTCATTGTCTTTGCCCGGGATGCATGCGACCGCGTCTCAAATCAGCATAGTCCCATTTATCCCTGCAGCTGCAAAACACTTCACAAGATTGTCTTTGGGGGTTCTTACTGCAAGGTTTTGCAAAATAGCGATGTCAAAACAAAGCATGAGCTGCTGCGTAAACCCCTGAACCCCGATCCGTCCTACCAGCCCTACATTCCGAAACGGGAAGCATTCTTAGCCCTCCTGGCTGGAAGATCCGGTGAGAATGCAACATGACTGTGTCATCACTATCTCTTATGAGAGTTTTTGTTTCATCAGCTAGCAAAAGAGGTTGCATGCACTGTCAACAACCATCACCGTTATGTGTCTGGTCATCAACAAAATCAGCGGCATCAGCAGCAGCCGCCGCAGCAGCAGCAGTGACGGTGGCGGTAGCGGTAGCGGTAACAACAACAGCAGCAGCAGCAGCAGCAGCAGCAGCAGCGGTGTTGGTAGCAGCGGAAGTGGTAGTAGTAGCAGTAGCAGTAGCCGTAGCCGTAGCAGCAATAGCAGGAGCAGTTGTTGTTGTTGTGGTGGCAGTAGCAGTAGAAATAGAAACAGAAGTAGCAGCAGCAGCGACGGTGGCGGTGGCGGTAGCGGTAGCGGTAGTGGTAATAGTAGCAGTAGCAGTAGCAGGAGCAGCAGCAGCAGCAGGAGGATGAGGAGGAACAGTAGTAGTAATAATAATAACAGTAATAGTAATGGTCATAGTAATGGCAAGAATACCACTACTACCCCCCGCATCAGCAACAACAACAACAACAACACCCTTTAGCTATCATGATCTCAGCTTTTCTCCTCTAGCTAGCCCCCTACACCAGCCCTGCACGCTGTTCTGCGCCTGGTGGCTTGGACAACTCAGGCCCAGAGATCTTGATCAAGAAAAGCAACGAATAAACGGATATACTTCTCATGATGACACCAGTAGGCAGTAATGAGCCATTGTATTTGCTGGTGCTGCTGAAGCTGGTGGCGCTGGCGACGCTGGTAGCAAAGGCGGCCAGGACGGTGCTTATCCTACTTTGGATGCCGCAAGGTCATAGTTGCAACTCGGAGAAATCGGAAATGAAAGCTATGACGGCATGCACGTAGAACGCGGAGTGACATGGAATAATGAGGTGTCTTCAAGGCTCAAGCTTGTTGAAGGATTTCAGGATGTACAGGGGATCTCACAGCTGTGTTATCTTCTTGAGCGCTGCGTCGCAGAACGTCCCAACCCAAAGCGGTGTTGCTTTTCTTGCTGCAAAAAAACTCGTTTTGGAAAGCTGCATCGGCTGAACGCCCACATGCTCATTCCACTCTCAGATAATGCGCAGCAGCAACATGCTGTACTATTTTGATTGTTGCGCCGTTGTCTTGATTTTACTACGTAGCATTCTAGACCTAGATGACCCGGGCAAACATATGTCAGCTGGAGGAATCAAGCCTGTGCAGGACATGCTGTCGGCATCGTGATCTGTTACGCGGTTCTACACAAGTATCGGCACCCCTCTGCCGGCGTGTGCAACAGCGATGATAGAGATGCACTTACAACACTCCCGGCTGGCCAGAACCCAACACTAGCTTGTCTTACAAGTACGTACTTGAAGCAACTTGGCTGTGACCTTTGCTTGGGGAATAGGCCGTGGAAGCCGGAACGGTCATTAAGATGGGCACATCTTTCCTGGATTCGTGGATATAGAAATACATGCCATGTCCGTTCTCATCCTTCGATGCATATCTAGTACAAGAGGAAAGGTGATCAGCACGAGATAGGAAGACTTCCCTTTCAAATGCATCTGACCTTCATGTAATACAGCTGAAAGAATCGAAGGAGATGCGATTTAGACTATGAAGTTCATTGCGCCATGCAGCTAAAACATCACGTGAAGAATACATGTAACTCAGTATGACCAGTTGACATCAAGCCAAAATCGACGGCGCCTGCTCTGCAGCTTTTGCTGGCGCCCGTGTTCATAAACGTAGTCTGTGTCCGCCTCCTGATGGTGAAATCTGCGCTTGGTGCACCAAGCCTCAACCTGTTTCCCGGATAGGTCAACATCAATGCATGTTCCAATGTGCAATGGCACCAGTAAATACCAGTAAGCTCAGCGTGACCAGATCCTTAGACTCGTTTGCTTCTTGTTCTCTTAGATGGTCCGGCAAGGGTTAGGAGAGGCTATGCCCTGTGAAGAGTTTGGGCAGGGAAGGCTGTGACAGTAAGTATTACCACTCTAGCAAATGATACTTACCCAACAATCACTGCATCCTAGAGTGCACAAGCAAAAGCCAAGGTTCAGTCACCAAAGCAAGCCCTGAACAGGGTGCTGAGACATTGCCATGTTAAGACATTTCAGGTTACTGTGGAAGTATGAGGTAGGCTTGGACATCTTTGCCCTCAACCTCGTTCTGAATTCCACAGCTGTTGCCTATCCGTTTCTGACTGTCAACGTCCTCAATAGTACCCCGACGCAGAATCTGCGAATGACATCTTTCCGAAGTCTCATAATCTATATGTGATGACCATTCAATAACTGGAATGCTGTTCGGGAATCCTGCCGCTATCCTTCTGGCGTTCAAAGATTTAAAGGAGACAGTGTGACGTCAAACTGACTTCTGCAAGCACCCAAACTTAAGACCCCTAAATCCTAGCCGTCCTAGCGAAGCTTTACAGATCCACAGCTGCTTCGCAGTCTGGATGCTGTAAGGAAGCAAATTGAAAGACAGTGAGGGCCCGCAACCAAGCATCGGCTCACGCAATGCAGCAGGCCTATCTTGCTTCTTAGGAACTGCTTGTATCTTCGGCCTTGGCTATGTCTACAGGCATGCTACGTACGCCACTCCCAAAAGTTTTTGACATCGGACCACAATCAGGATGCCTTGTCAGCTTACCCTTTCAGCCCGGGACCTGTACCATAGGTCTTTGGACACAAAGAAACCTGGTGCCGCAAAGCAAACTCACAGATGAAGTGGCGTAGCTGTGGGGATCCCCTTGTAGACCCGCAACGGCCAATAGTCCTTTCTTAACCCACTTCCCATTCTCGACTCAATGCCAGCCAGCTAAAGCAGTAGCGTTGGGAGTCTTGTGCTGTGGGGGTAACATTCAGCTGGCAGTCAAAAACTCTACATCTGGAGAATCCTGGCAAACACTGTGATGAGGATTTTTACTGATGGGGAGGGACTTCACTGGTCTAGCTGGAATGAACAGCTGCTTTAGATGCTGTGCTGCGAGGCAGTCACTCCTGCGCTGCTCAGAACTACAATGCACGAATTCCAGATGGGAGCGCTAAGCCGCTACAGGTTCATAGACACATAGGGGTTTCTCTCAATATTGGTAAGCCTAAGCATACTCGAAAATGTTGAGATCTTGAGGAAGCATGGCGGTCTCTCTTCTAGATCGCGCAGGGACGTCTGATGCAACTTCTGTACAACTTATGTGCCACTTGTGTGATTGTGATGATTTCTGGCTTGCATGTTCACATTTCTCTTAATAGCCCTGGGATTTCTTTTCTTTGATGTTGCGAAGGTTGTTTATCACTGCTGCCAGTGATTAAAATGCCCAAGCGATGAATGTAAATTAAGAGGACAGGAAGCACTCCTCATGCGGAACTTCACAGGTATGATACGTAGCCGTACCATCACAGGGACCCAAATTTGTCAGAATTAGTGCCTTGCCCGCTCTCTCAGGTCCCCCTTGTGTGTCTCTGGGTGTCCAAAAGGGCACTTGTATGCACAAAGCTTTGTCTGTGCTAGATGGCTAAGCATTCGCTGGGAAGGTATATCGCATCATTCTTGAGCAATCCGTCTGTTGCCCTCATAAGGCCTGTCAGGGCATGAAGGCCCAAGTATGTTGGCTAACTGGGCTGGCTCTCTCAGCGGAGTGCGCTACACATTCCCGCGAGTCAGGTCTTGGGACATGGCTGCACAGAGAGGGCTCTGCTGCTACTTTTCAACTTTTGAAATGGCTTTAGGCTTTAGTTTTTGGTTATATGACCTCGAGAACTAGCTGCAGACATGTTTCATGCACTACCTGCAACTCTGTAGGCTATTGCTACGAAAAAAGAAGCCAATCATTAAAAACTCTTATGGTTTCAACTTTTAACTGATACTGAACACGGTAGACACTGCTAGTGGTCAGTCGTCTCAGCAGCAAGGAGGGGAGGTGTAATTGAGTTGAACTTCCCATGATAGGAAGAAACTGTTTTTGGGCAGCTCTTCTTCTTGATAATAGCCAATACTGATACTACCTATTGATGCTACTCATTTCCTTGCTTTGTTCCTGCCAGGAAACTTCCGCTGTGGAACCAGATTCCGAAAGTCCTCAGTGCTTTGAGCGACCCGCTTTGGGTACGCTTTGCGAACCAACGGTAACGTTCCGATCGTCGAGGAAGTCAACCTGGGGTGCGCAGTGTTTTTGAAGCATTGCTGTACAATGTTGTTCAATGCAGCATTCTTTGCACAGGGCATATGATGCTTAGTGTGCCAAGTAAGCGTGCAAAAAAGATTACATCCATCATCCTCAAAATTGCATCATCATCATCATCATCATCATCACACCGCAGGAGCAAAGGAAGCGAAGGATTGACCCTGCTTGTTATGTCACGGCACTGACCTTTCTTTGAAGGCGCAGTTGCACAAGCGGTGAGTCACCAATGTTACACGTCGAGCACCCTTGCTCATACTACTACTGTTACCACCGCAACAACAGCTGCTATTAATGACAATCAAAGCCCTCACCATTATGCTGCCTGGCCTTCGTAACAGCATGAGCTGCAACATGCATTCGTTGATCACTATTACCACTAATTATCGCCTATAGCCTTTCACCGCCAACGCTCCTACTCTAAAG